CAACCCAAGAGTGGTAGGACTTGAGGATGTTTTCACGCTTCAGTAAATCCAGCTGATGAACCTCGGAATATAACCTCTCCAACTGTTCCGGTCTGGTGTCTGTAATGCATCTTCAATGCTCATTTGGTTCCAATCAACTTCTATTCCGCCAGCCTCATCAAATGCCTTATATCTGTCATAAGAGACAAAGAAATCAGTACATGTTTCTCTCTAGTATTGAAAAACAGGAAAAACAGGAAAAGTGAGGCAACAAGGAGCTCCCTCTCTCTGTTGGTTTTTCCGGCTCCAGAGGTTCGACTGAATCCAACTGGTGGAGAGAGCGGCAATCGAACGGAGAAAAGCTCAGCGAATCCGAAAACCTAAATTGAAAATTTTCGGGGTAGGTGGAGAGTGAAGCAAAGCGAGGCGGGCGTTGAGGAAGGAGCGGCGGCGGAGACGATTGCGTCATGGCCACGGCGCAGCAGTCAAAGCTGAGCGTATCGGAGAGCAGTCGAAACTGAAAGGAGGGGGAGAGAAATCGAAGAAGGAGGGATCATAATAACGATGGCGGAGGCCATCTATTAAGTTTTATTTTTATTTTTTAATAGTTGTAAAATGAGGTGAAAATTGTAAATATTTAAATTTTATTATTTTATTATTTTTTAATGGTCACGTCACTCATTTAACGGTCAACTATAATAGTTGACTGCCACATCTGCAAAAACTAACGGAGAGTGATCAAACTTCAACTATTTAACTAATCTTAGTGACCATGAATGTAATTAAATATTTATAGTGATCAAACATGAACCGTTTTAGTAAAGACAGTGACCATCCTTGCAATTAATCCTTTTTCTCAAATATAAACTTTTCGGTTTAAACCCTAAAACAGAGACCAACCACTTCCCTCCTCTACGAACGATGAAGTTCCGATCTACGCACAGGCTCTCCATCTTCCTGAACTCTCCTCAGTTCAACCATCGCCGTCTTCACCACCGCCATTTCTTCACTTCTTTCCACAAGAAGTTTCATTCGACGTCGCTGACTCGTGCCGCTTTGAACAATGGCGACGGTGGCAACTCTAGAGGTCAGCTCTCCGGTACAATTAGATACTAGCCTAGCTTCTCTCGTTTTCAGAATTTCAACTAATTGGACGCACTCGATTTATCGTTTGGCTTCTTCAGAACTTGCATGAGAAACAAAGAAGGATTGGTTCCACATTTCTCCGCTTGTGTAGCTGTTAGCTCATTGTTGTTGCTGCTAAAGAAGCTGAACTCTACTTTTTACATGGATTTTGGCTGCTTGATGTCTTCTTGGTGCTTATATCACATTTCGAGCATTAGGTTGCATGGATTTCAGTTTTTTGTTGTAGTTAGTCTTTGGTTTTAATTTTGGTAACATATGCTGTACATACTGGCTGATTGTGTGTTAAATGAACTGAGCGATTAAAGCTACTGCAAGTTGTGGTGAGGGGGATTATCGTTGTTGGAAACTACAGTGTACGATGCTATTGTTTCTGGGACCCCTTTCGTATCTTTAGCCACGTAGAATGCAGTTGGAGTTGATTGTTAGATGTCTTTTCAGGCAATACTTTCCTGGTACCTGGTGCCACTGCAGCTACCTTACTTATGCTTGGTGCACTGCATGCTCGTCGGATGTATGATGACAAAAAGGTGTGCATTTGTCTCACCTATAGCATACACGTCTCTCAGCTTTTTCTTGTGCTGCTTTAGTCTTATGTCATGCACATCTTTGATCTTTTCATCAAGTTGTTCCTGTATGCATTCATGGTCTTGGTTATGATCTATTATTGGTGGTATTTTTAGAAAATAATTCTGTTTTTATGTTGTGGTGATTCATGGGTTATGATTCCTTGTTCTTTTGGGGCAGTTGGAAGATGCACGAGAGAAAGGGGTTGAAATTGAATTCCAACCTGATGCAAAAGTATGTACTATCACTAGAAACATTATTTGATCCATCATTATACAACTGCGAGATCTGAATGGGGTTCATGTTTTGCATTTTACTAGACCCTCATACTTTTTGTACTCTAGGCTTCATTTTTGAGGATGCTACCCTTACGCTCCATTTCAAGAATTTGGGGTTCTTTAACTAGTGTGGTGAGCGTCCCTTCATTTTTTTAGGATGCCAGTTATTTCCTTAAGCTTTCGGATGTGAAGTTGTTAAAAGATTATGTACTTTCAGGAACTCCCTATCTGGATGCGCCCACATGTCTATAAAGCTTGGGCAAGAGCATTTCATTCAAGTATGGTTTCTACATGTTGATATTTTTGGAGTTGATTTGTTTAGTTCTACTTTGTTCTTTTGCCAGCACTCTTGTTGATGATTGTGCAACTGTCACTTAATGGTTGGCTTTAAAGAAAATGTCCCCTTCTTGTTTAAGTGCAGACTTGGAGGAAATGTCTCTCCCTCTCGAAGAATATTCTTCTTTACGCGAATTCTTTGTCCGCACATTGAAAGAAGGGTCCAGGCCTATTGACCCTGATCCACATAGTCTGGTAACTGGTAACAAGCTTCTTGCTGATGTTTCACATCCATACTGCTTTTATGGGAGATAGTAGTAAACAGTGACTAGTCTATAGAGCATCTAATCTTTCTTTTTTTGCAATCTCAGGCTAGCCCAGTAGATGGTACGATTATAAGATTTGGGGAACTGAAAGGACGGGGGGCTATGATTGAACAAGTCAAAGGGTTTTCCTATTCTGCTTCTTCTCTACTCGGAGCTAGCTCCTTCCTTCCTATAGCAGCTGAAAGGGATTTGCCTGAGGAAACTAGTGAAAATAGAAGTAACCATAAAGAGAACAGCCAAAATTCACAATGGAGTATTTCATTGTCTTATCCTAAAGCCAGAGACACAGTGAAGTCAACAAGGTAGAGTCAACATTTCTTGTTGCACTACACTCTACAATGACAGAAGAACATGTTCAGTGATTCCTTTGCAATGACCTCCATCGGGCTAGATGATTGATTCATGTTATTCATTGCAGTCCAGAGAAAGGACTTCACTACTGTGTAATTTACTTGAAACCTGGAGACTATCACCGCATACACTCACCAGTTGATTGGAATATTCTTGTCCGCCGTCACTTTTCAGGTGGTTTATTTGGTAACATATCAATTTGTCGCTTTTAAATGGTGATGCTGTGAACTGAGAGCCTTGCACTTTCATTATATCCATTTCTAGGTTTGCCAGTTGCTTTAACAAGTTACTGGTCTGCTGATCTCTTCATATTAGTGTGCGTGAAGATTATACTATGTATTGATGTCTGAATGCTTAACCTATCATTAACTGTTACCTTGTATTATGCTATTCCAGCCTGTGGGGCGAATATGCAAGGTCATTGCATGGCGAAACATGATCTTGAATGATTGAAAAACATTCATTGAACTTGACATCAGATATGATTTTAACTTCGGTTATAGAAATAGAAAAAAATTGAACATTGTTTATCCATGGCGTATGATTTGTGTATAGTTTTTATATGTTGATTTCCTTTAACTCATCAAGTATGTTGTATGTCCTGAATATTGAACTAATACTTTATCATCTCTCAGGACGCCTTTATCCAGTGAATGAACGTGCAACAAGAACAGTTAGAAATCTGTATGTTGAGAATGAAAGGGTAAGGCTCACTGAACCTACTCATTATGGTTTATTATCAGTGCAATAAATAGGGTCACAACTTACATCTGAACATCAAAGATGGTTTGTAAACTGATATTTTTGTTCTTGTTTACTCTGTAAGCCTTCTCATTTTGTTCAAATATGAGTTTTTTTTGTGTGTGCTTAATATGAAAGCTTCCGCTCTGTACGTTTGCAAGTTCTAATAATTAGTCTGAACAGAAAGTTCAAACAACCATCAAGACACTAGTGTAAATTTGTTAGCTTATTCCATTCGTTGGTAGTAAATTTGTTTTATAGTTATGGATAATTGGTTTGGAATATGTTCTCATCCACCTTGGCTATCTCATTGAGTCACTGAACTTCCATTACACAGGTAGTAGTTGAAGGTCTATGGAATCAGGGATTCATGGCCATGGCTGCAGTTGGTGCTACCAATATTGGATCGATCGAGGTCAGTCCATTTGTTTGCATGATGTCCCTTACTAGTTTCTATTGTATGGCCAAGGAGTGACTCCTTTGTGTAAGGGACATAACTGAAGAATGTATTGGAAGGGTCGTCCATAACTAACATTATTTTCTTGGTTTCAATCTGATCTTATAATGGTGTACATGGCAGCTTTTCATTGAACCAGAGCTTAGCACAAACCTGCCAAGAAAGCTGCCATCTACTTCTGAGCCTCCCGAAGAACGGGTATACGAACCTGAAGGCATTGGAAGACTGGTCAAGAAAGGAGACGAGGTTAGTTATGTATATGCTAATTTGTTTCCAGAAAACCACGAGCAATCGAAATGGAAGAAAGATAGTCTTACAAATGAATATTGTCCTTGAAATCTTTCTTTGCAGATAGCTGCTTTCAACATGGGATCAACAGTCGTGCTCGTCTTTCAAGCTCCTACATTGAAATCAGCCAAAGATGGAGGCCGATCTTCAGAATTCAGGTTCAATATCAAACGTGGGGATCGAGTTCGAGTTTGAGAAGCGCTTGGCACATTCCATGATGTATAGATTACATAAGCATTTGCTCATTTTTGCTAAAGTTATTATGGTTCAGCTAAGCAAAGCACACATCCAAGTGTGTCATACTTCCACTCTGAGTTTCACTGTTGTAGAAACCCCAAGTTGTCAGTTTACTTGTGAAAGTTCGTTGTAATTTTATGCATCGGTTGCTGGAATTTGCTGGGTTACTCCTGAGTCCTGAAATTCACCTTCTGTAGAAGGGATCCGCGAAATAGAGACATTGCTATCTGGGAATTTGATACCCAGAACAGTTAGTGAAATTGTTTTGAAGATAAATTGTTTGTGTGAAAATGTATCCAGCCAAATCATTCGAGGTTGTGGGGGGATGAAAAGAGTGAAAATTGATCAAATAGACAATTCGACTAGTAAAACCAGCTGGTGCAATACTGCAAATTACTTTGCCAAGCAACTTCGCCTGTCCAGACCACTTTTAGGATCAACAGTGGAAATTAAGGAATGGTCTTACTCTTACAACCGCTACAGAAGGTCCACAACAGTGCAACAGTAACTGAAATGGGATCAAATCTCTAAAGTGACTTCAGTTGCTATTTCTACCAATCAATTTCATTCAATAAGGGAATCAAAATCACATACAAGTTCGATTAGAATCCCTAACTCACAAGTGTAGTAGTAACTGAAGAATCCTAGTAACTTTCAACTATCAACACATATCCATTCATTCGTTTTTCTCCGTTGGACATGTCTGTAGAAGACCCTCTTCTGTATCTCATTCTCCTCCAAAATTGAGCCACAGGCAAAGTCACTCCACATATAATAGAGAAAAAAAGCAGCTTATCCTTCCCGGTATCCCTCTATATCAAAACTTTGTTCCTGTTGACATGAAAACACCATCTCATGTTAGCTATAAACCGGCAACTCCGTTTTATTTGATCGATAGGAAATGCATGTAATGGTCACTACAAGTATCTTTTTGATTAAGAAATCTACTATTTGCTCAACTAATAACACTGTTAACGAGCACATGATCTTCAAAATTTGACTGATTAAAGAACCATAACCAACCCAGCACAAGGGCAGACCCAGAGGATTGGCCTACATCATCACACAACAACTGAAACTCACAGGTCGATTGCTTATGCCTGATCAAATCAGTCTCAAGAAGCTAGACTTGTAATCGAATTTGCCAAGGAAAGAAAGGAACACATGAACGCCTAATCATCAACTATGACTTGATTTATGGATTTTGGCGTTCACCAAAATAAGTGACATTCCACCAAACCACTCTAAAATCCCCATTACTTCTTGCTAATTGGTAATTTGACAAGGATTTCGTTGCAAGATGACTAAACATTGCAATTGGATGACGAGTAAACATTGCATTATGGATCCCAAGGAGCACAGAATTCTTAACCACCATTAATTCAGCATCATCCCAAACGACAAGCTAAATGACTAACCACGACCATGATCAATTTCCCAGCGCTCCCCACTAATCAGCAATACACCAATAAATAATCCCAAGAAAGGGTTTCAACTCAGGACGACTAAACTTGGCAATCAGGATTCCAATCAAGCCACCAGATTAACGAAGGCAAAAATGGAAGGTCGAAACTAGGTTATACAGCGACCAGAAAAATGACAGCATATGCAAAGGCACACCTACGTCTGTTTGGAGTACGAAGATGAAGAAGGGACGCGCTTGTTCCGAAACATCATGTATCCGACCGGCAACACCACTCCGATCATCATAATAGCCGCGCCGATCAGGTACCTTATCGGGCTCGGCGGCTCCACCTCCACGATCCTCAGATGCTGCAGATCAAAAAAAGAAAGGGGTAAAAATCCAATCGTGAGCTAGGAACTGAAAACGACAACAAGAGCTCCAAGGTTGCTCTAGGAGATCTGGATCAGGCATAATAGATTAGAGCAGAAAGAAAGCCAGAGAAAAAGGGAACATACTGGCATTTTCCGCCGCTCGCCGCTGCTAGTAGCTACGGAGATTTAGAAAGAGAGGCGAGAACGGGAGGAGAGATTGATCTCAGAACAGTGAAGCGAAGAAAAGGAGACGAGACGAAACAATGACGACTACCGGAAAGATGTGTAATGTAAATGCTTCTCCTTTCAAATACAAAATTGGGTTATAGGTCTAGTATGCCTCTCTGCTATAACACTTTATCAAACATGCCCATTACTATTTTTTACATCAAACATGCTCCTGTACTTTGTAAAAATGATCAAACATGCCCTTTTGTTAAAATTTAATCCAAAAATCGTTAACAAAGACCGAACTTTAGTTTGGGAGACACAAATGACTAAAATATCCTTAATAAATTCACTTTATTTTTTTTTGGTTCTTTTGTATAATCAAATCATTCAAATAATTTCACTTTGAAAAGACCCAGGGAAATAAAACAAGGGACAAAACTGCCATTTTTCCTCCCATTTGTCGATGTCGGGTCGTCTAAATCTCGGTTCAACCATGATTGACAATTTTTTCAATGGAAAATTTAACAGAAGGGCATTGTTTGATAATTTTTTCAAAGTACAGGGGCATATTTGATGTAAAAAATAGTAGAGGGGCATGTTTGATAAAACGTCATAGTAGAGGGGCATATTATACGTATAACCCTACAAAATTCAACTTACATACCGTTTGGTATCAAATGAATTATCGTGTAAAATTCATTGTCAAATGAAATCTTATGTTTAGTATGTCATATTCAAATCGTTGAAAATAAAATAAATTATCGTGTAGAATTCATTGTCAAATCGTTGAAAATAAAATAAATTATCGTGTATAATTCATTGTCAAATGAATTCCTGTATTTGGTATGTCATATGAACAAGTAATTTAGTTAATAAAAAAGGATAATTATGTCATTCTATTAAAATTAGTAAATACTGGTGGAATTCATTTGGAAATTCCATCTCAATTCCTTGGAATTGATATAACTAGTTCCAATTCCATACAATTCAAAATTTAGAATTGGAAATGAATTCTTTTATATACCAAACACAAAAAAAATTCATTTCAAAACGAATTCCTCACTTGTGCGCGAGCCCTTGAAGTTTAAATCTGGTACGACCCATGAAGCATTCATGCTTGTACTGACCGATCCATAAACATTGTTTTCATGGTATGCTCTAACTGTGTCGTACTAGCTCGACCATGTGCCTAGGTATAGTTATATGCATAACAGTTGAATGGTTTAGAGAGAGAAATGGGTTTAGAGAGAGAAAGCAATGGGAGTTGGAGAGATTTCGAGCGGGAGAGGAATAGGGCTGGGAAAGAATTTCCGTTTGTTCATTATGATGATTGTCATCGCAGGTCGCAGGCTTTCGGGACGGATGGAGGCAGCGGCGAGCGTCGGGAAGGGTGCAAGCGAGAATCGTGGTTTGGGTCCAGGAGGGTGTCGATCCGGAGAGAGGAATCGGGGGAGTCAGTGTGGTATAGACTGCAAGCTGTTGAAGGTCCTAAGAGTTGGTTTATTCTGATGAGCGAGACGCATTTATCTTGGTTACAAGGGGCTCTCCAAACGACGGTCATGAAGGGGTGGCATTTTGCGAGAGGATGCGTTAAAAAGAGCGGAGAACGGGTGATTCATGTACGGAAGAAAAATCTCGGGCACTTGGAGTACCTTCAAATCTCGGAAATGGTTAAGTGTGGTCGAGTTTTTAAGATCATGATCCCACAATCTGGGAAAGGTCGTGGATGGGCGCAACTCATCTTCCTGCTGCAAGATTTCTTCTAGTTGGAACAACAAGTCCACGAACAGCATTTGTGGCAAGCCAAGGACGCACGTCCGCTACTAGATCCTCCTAATCTGCCAAAGAAATCATATGCTGAAGTTGTTAAGAGTGGTGGATTCTACGGAGCAGGGAGGTGTAGGATTAAGCGGAATGGACAGGAGCGCTTCATCGAAGTATACAAAGAAGGTGTGGCTGAGAGACGCGAACTACTGGGTAGAAGTCTAGTCATCTGCTTCAATCCGGCAAATAAGGGCCCCTTTGTTAGTCAAGAGGCTCGAGAATTCAGGAGATGGGCTACTAAGCAATGGGCAATCGACGATAACTATGACCTTGAGTGCATCGCAATGGAAGATGGTTGCTTATCTGTCCTAGTTTACATCAGGCTATCCGCATCAAGAGTTTCGATCAGTGCCTTTACAACAACTTCGTATTGGGTATCTCTCATTGGCAAGAGGACGGGACCAACTGCAGGCCGTCAGAATTGCAGTGGGTGATGGTGTTCGGGATTCCTATCCAGCTTAAGAGCATCGATCTAATCAGAGGCATGGTAATTTCTGTGGTTCATTGGCGGAGGTTGACTGGAATCACTAGTCGTCCGAGTTTGTTAGAATCTATGTTCGGCGTCACGGTGCACTGCCGGAAGTCATTCCTATTCAGTTCGGTCGGGAGCGGTTCTGGGTTAAAGTTGTTCTAGCACCGGCAGCGAATCGGGCCAGAAACTTTTCCTTGGGTTCAATAATTGAGAGGGAGGTGAATCGTCCCCCCTCGAACTGTGCCCCCATGCAACCGAGATCGATGCGTAATAATGGTGTGGGTTTCCCAAGGCTTGTCGGCTCGGTTGCTAGCGGAAGCTCAAATTCCTGCCACCCAACCCTACGAAGACCCAAGTCTACAGGTAGTCGGATAAAAGCAAGGAAATTTTGGGTTAGGAAAATTGGGTCGCAAAAGGATTTATCTAGTGGGCCATCTACTGTTCCGGACGCCACCTTATTGGACTTGGACATGAATGGATTTGGGCTAAATCACAGCCTGGCGGACTGCATGCCCAATTTTACCAGGCTGGTTTATCGTCTTCTTGTTGGACCCCAGCTCTGTTCCACCCCATCTTTGGCCCCTTTTCGTTGGTTGCGCTCGTTATTCCTGGAGAGGGAGATCTACCTTTTCAAATTTAACTGTTCCCTTCTTCCCCAACTCAACATCCCTGAGGAGCAACTATCTCTACCTCTTCTTTATTCCCAAATCCCCATTTACCCTGCGGAGACACCTTCATCCCCCTCAACCCCAGTACTTAGACCTCTTATCACAATTGCACTCCACGACTCAGCCTCGATTGGCAAATCCGCGGACTCGCCAACCAGCTCTGCCACTGCTGGCTCCTCATTCTCCTCCTCTAAAGTCAGTTGAGCAAAACCGCTCACCAGCTCAGCAACATTGATCTCTTGAGCAGCTTCATCCAGCTCTTCATCCTCCATCACGACCTCGCCATCCTCTCCTTGATTTTTCAAATCAATGTGGAAAATCAAAGGCAAGATGTAGTTGTTCACCACCACCGGTGGTAGACTTCCAAACTGGATCGTCATGGGTGCACCTTGGTTGTCATCATCGTCATCCTTGTTTTTTCGATCAAATTTCAACTTCGGCTCCTCCAATTCCAGCATCTCCTCTTCGATAAGGGAGTCATCCAACTCAGCATCGTACTCAGCCTCTCCCGGGACTCCCTGATCGTTCCCGTCCAGGTTGTCCTCGACAACTTTTTCAGCACCGGCCACAGTCACTCTCAGACCCGTGGCAGAGTTGTCCACGTTCACATTCGCTTGCAAGTTTGCAATCATCCTTCCTTGAGCATTCTTGCGGAGGTACCTTCTATACTGCATCCTTGTCATCCCGTCAACCGCGTTGGGCTGTTGACGACGGACGTCGTAGGTGTGCCAACCACCCTGTGGCACATTTGGCATCCTGAAGGTTCTCCTGACGGGTGGGGAACCCCTCACAGGTTGGGTAATTCCAAAAGGTAGACTTTTAAAAGGTGGGGCACTTTGAGCAACCCACTGCCTACGCTGCCCTCTTCCCCACGCAGGTGCACGTACTCCTTCGACTTTGCGTTCATATGAGGGGTACCTCGGTTTGAACTGTCGTGGTCCCAATTTCTGGTGGACCGACTGGCTCGATCCTGCTCCCCCAATGTTTAGCTTTCCGCGACACTGGGCACACAGCTTCTCTTCCTCAGCTGGGTCCAAGCGTGGCCCCTCCTGCACTTGGGAGGATGAAGCACCCTGGGCCATATCAGAACTACCACTCGGCGGTGGCGTTGTATCAACCACCAGCTTGAAGCGTGGCAGGTTGATCTTAGAGAAATCGGGATTGACCATGTTGACGGCGACAACGTTTGGGAAAGGGTATGTGTCAACAATCATGGCCTCCTTCCTCGGCTCTGGGAACTTGAACCGACCTTTCTCAATTGCATCTTGCACAACGTTGCGAAACACAACACACATGTTAGTTGAATGAGATGCACTGTTGTGCCATTTACAGTATCGTTTCCCTTTTAATTTTTCGGCTGGCGGGATTGTATGCCCCCCACCCAGTTAACTTAATTTGACCATCTTTGTAAAGCTGGTTGAAAATCAATTCTGATTTTGAAACATCAAAGGAATATTTCTGTGATACCTCGACTTCGATATGTTCAACATCAAGTACTGGGCCCAAGTTGGAAAATTTTGAAAAGGGCAATGAGTCACTCAAACATATTCGATGCTACCAAGCTAGATGAGAATATATGTTATGGTCAAGAGTACATATAAGAACTATCGTAAGCGATTCAAGACAAGGTAAGGCCACACGTTTGAAGTTCATATAGAAAGAGTGAAATCTTGAGCCAAAGAAGCACGAGAATGAGGAGTATGAAATGATGAGCCCGATCAAATTTCGGGGACGAAATTTTTAGGGTGGAGGAAATGTTACACCCCGACCTTTGGGTTCAGGTTCGACCATAATACGTGAACGGTTGGATTAACGGTTACGTAGGGCCCGTTTAGTATTGTTGCTTGTTTTTGTTTTCTGTTGTGTTTTATAAAATCACAGAAACCGAGGAGAAAAAACATGTTTAGTTAGGTTTTTAATTTTTATTGCAAAACAGAGTTACACAACCAGGCCCAAATCAGAGAAACAATAAATTATTGCTTTGGATCTGATTCGTACACATGTTTAACACGGGATTTGTACTGGTTGTGTCTTTGATTTCATTAAACTAACCCCAATTCGAATCCCCTCACATACGGAAATTCTGTTTATTTTTTTCAACCCTTTCACAAGGCCCCAACCCTACTCGCCATTTAACCGTTCCATTATTTTTTCAGCCACAATCCGGCATCCCTGTCTTGCCGCCGCACCCGCCG